TTTTAGTAAAAGGGTCAAAAGTTGGAATTTTGATTTTCGCGATTTCGATGACTAATGAATGGCTAATGAATTCTGACTACCCCTGGTGGAGTTTCAATTTGCTGACTAACCTGGCACGTGCGTCACAAATTCTAACAACCACTGCTGCCAACTCGGTATTGAATGACTAAGCAGCCAAATTTCCAGAATTGGAAAAACATATTTGACACCCTAACTTTAAAGCATATTATGGCACCAACAACAAGTTCAGTACAGAACCTAGTCCTCCAAAGTCTCCTGAGAGAGCGAATAGATTATCAAAAGGAACACTAGCTAAAGACTATACCTGAATTATGGGCTTGGATACTCTTCTCCAATGAATACCACTTGGATCTATCTTCTCAATCTATACCAGCAATTCTTAGGGAGGGAAGATTACGGTACGCTCCAGAAAACATTCTCCGGAGACGTAAGAAAGAATGGGTCTAATTCCATATTGCAGCTTGGGTATCCTGGAGGGAAAGTCTAAGAAATTATGGTTCTACAACAATAAGGAAGATCACCCAGAACAGCCTCTAATACCTTTATGGACTCGCCAGCGGCCTACAACATAGAACGAGGAAGAATATCAGGCAATATTAAAGGACTGGGAAGCCTGTCATCCTCACAGGGTAGATGTTACTATTGGGGGTAATCATATGACCCAAAAGTACTATATAGAGAAGCTCTCACCGTTCAACAGCATACGGCAACTCGTTTTTGGCTCGATACAATAAACACTGTACAGCAGCTGCACTCGAATGGTCACTATACCGCCATTTTGAACGAAATCCGCCTCCGAATCAGAGTTTTCACCCAACTCTTGGCGTCGTACAAAAGCTACAAATTATCAAGCGGAGGAAGATACAGCGGATATCGATTTAAAAGAATCATTTCGTACTTTTTAGATGCAGATCCCTGCTAAACTTCCCTCTCTCGACAGAGGTACGGCCACCTTCACTTCCCCATCCAAATTCTCTCGCATTTTCGAACACAGCCGATACTGTACGATGCTCTCTACTCTACAAAATCGCACCTTTAGCCGCAGCGGAAGTGAAGGACCTGTTTTACTTAGCTTCCGGTGTGATTTTTCACTCCCGTTGCGATACTCAGGCCTGGGCTATTTGGACACAACTACAACCTTTGTCCTGGTGATTCAGCTACCATGAACTCTGGCAGAGATCCGACTTCAAACCCGAGGCACTGAAAGATGACGACAATAGGAGGATACATTGGTTTCCAAGATCACACGAAGGTGTATACAAGGAATTCGTTGCACCGAAGCTGAATTAAGAGGCACCTTTAGCTACGCCTTTTGGCTGTTGTCACGATCCAGGAATCACGTTACCGAGGACCTTGGGCTCAGCGACTCTGTCGGGGTAGGATCTTGGGCATATTATTCTGTATATACTACTGGGAGGCTACCTACAGGAGGAAACGGACCAGGGAATTCACAGAATGTACAATATCACGTGAATGCGAGACGTGCGAGACGAGCTCGCAAGGTGGAACTTTTTAGTATATAGTCTTTCCAGTTTCCTTAGTTAGGATCTTCGAGCTCAAATTACCATAGCTTTGCTTACCTCACAGTTTACCCAGCTTGTAACATAATCGCTTCCACGTGATTCAAACCGATTGGCACTTGCCTCTCCATTCCTATACCGACCCAACGCTACTTCTATCGAGAAGATCAGTTGAGTATTCCCAGCTCAAATACCAACCTGCTAAGATGATGGCACGCTTGGAGAAGTGGCACTTGCCTATATCATCTCATCTGCGATGGGAGTACAGAGCAAAGTCTTGTATTGAGAGTCAAAATATAAGAGGAAAGAGTTGCAAAGTGTGTCTTGCTGATGGCAGAGCCTAGCTCGCGCTGTCTCTCGTGCACCATGAGTCACCTTACCTTCTTTCTTCCCTCTTCCAAGTTTCAAACAGGACACCGCGTAGTGCCCCAGTATGCCTACCTACGGGGTCACAATTGACTGAAACAGGTACCGCTACCACCATCTGATCTTTGTACCAGCCTTAATTCTGCCAACATCTGGTCATTTCACCTGCCTCACTGCTTCGCCGAATTCACCCATCAGATCAGAGCAAGATCGAAAGATTGGCCTACCTGCCTACCTGCCTCCAGTCTTGCCTTACGCGCCACGTACGTCAACCCACTCCCTCTTCTTTCCAAAAAGCATGCAATGCAAAGGCTCAGCATCATCTCACCAGAGTGCATGAGGCTGATGAAAGAAGCTAAAGATATTACTTGATGCCAAATTCTCTGGCTGCTCTGATCTTAGTACCCATGCTCACCGCAGAGTCGGCCATGGTAGTGTTAGCAGTTTAAGCTGTGTGTATGTGTCTTCAAACTGAGGGGCCTGATCATTGCGTTAAGTTAATTGCAAATAGCAACTGGCAAGCATGTTGGATAATACATTGTTGTTAGGTAACTGTCAGGGTGTGGGCTGGGTTGGATCAGAGGAACTCTATAAGAAGGTATTCCATACAGTTGATAGAACTGCCTGAGGGTCTACAAGAGAGGGGGGAGAGGATCGAGGCTACATACGAATCTAACCCCTGCGTAGATCGAGACGAGGCTGTCGCGTCTCACGTGGCATTGCAACCCCTGTTCAAACCATGACAGTAACCAAGTATTTTTAGTAAGTCTAACTCCATCATTTCACAGCAATCACGGATGCTCCAAACGTAACTGAGTAACAAAATGATCCTTAACGATAGCCAAGGGTACATCAATAATGAATGGCAGCTTGAAACCAATTACAGCTTGTAAAAACATCAGTATCAACCATAGGTACGATCCAAAAAGTGTAAACGAACCCCCTGAATAGCCGAGTCTTGCAATAAGTTTTGGGGTTGCTTACGCAAGCCAAAATTTCCCCACGCAAACTGCTCAAATGGATGAAAAAAAAAGAAAAAGTTTTCGACAACTCCTGATCCAAATTCATGGAGAAAATTTTACATGTGGGACAAAATGACAGTGGTCATGCCAATGAGGCAAAGGGAAGAAAGAACAAGTGGATTCTAACCACATTAACTTCCTTGCATGTATGCCGGAACGCGGAATCGAACCGCGATTGAAGGCGGATTGTATGAAGTTCGATGTGAACACCACAAGCCCACGTGCTACCGTTACACCATTCCGGCTTGACAAATGTCTGACATTTTTGAAGTAGGAAATTTAGTAGCTAACTATAAACAATACAAATTTGAGAAATCAAGTTAAGCTACCGAAGTAGCACCAGATTTGTAGTAGGGGCTTAGCGCTGCTTCTGGCGCATGCCCAAGTTGTGCTGCCTGTACAGAGTTCGTGGCATACCAAAGCATTGTAAACTCGGACAAATTGACATCTGGATACATCTGTAACAGCTCAGCTGAAGGAAGAAAGAATGGTTATCATAAATTCATTAGATTTCATAATACAAAGGTCTAGCTAGGTATTCATAGTAGGCATTTTCCAAGATGCCAGATCCTCTCTCATATCAAACTCGTTGACCCCAAGAGCCGGTCTGAATCCTCCCCTCCAGCTATCCGAGCTCTCTGAACTCAATGGATCACGCAGCGTACTTATCCCAGAGTTATGTCTCATGTCCTGACTACTCGAGTGTTTGTGTCCAAATCTCGACGGACCCTTGACGGTCGACTGCGATTTCAGACTAATTTCTGAATTGTGTCTTGAATGCCGGTGAAAGTGGTATGCTGTATGGTCTGTCTGCTTCGTTTTCGGCTTCGATTTACTCTGCGTCGAAGCCCATCCGCCTTTCCAGCCGTCTCCTCCATTAAATATATCTTCTATGCATTCTTCCGCTGTGTACTCACCCGCTGGTGCTGCTAATGATGCTGATATTGACTGCCGATACAAATCCTGGAGATCATTGAAGTCTCCTCCTTTGCTGATCGTAGGCATGGCTGCTGTAGCATGTATCAGCCTGGCCGTAGGAAAATCACTTAACTGACCACTCACCTCCTTGATCATCCTGTTTGGCCGAGTCGCCCGCCATTATGCCCGCAATACCTCCAAATACAGGCACAGTCTTCAGTGGCGGCGCAACAAAATTCCTGTCCCCCTCAATCTGCTTCATCGCAATCCCAATCTTCAGCGTGCTGTTGATCTTACTCTCCTGCATCAAATATCGCCTAACCACTCCATCCTCACAATCTGCTGACTCGCTCTCGTCCACATATTCTGCGAGATTCAGCTTCAGCTCTCCCAGCATGATTTTTTCCCCTCGTCCTCCCGCGCTGTAATCCTGGATGACTTCGAACTGAAGCAATGTTTCAGTGAGATTGTTGGACTTGTCAACTACTATGCGCACGGTGAGGGTCTTCGAATACTCCCAAGTCACTTTGTTATCTTTGATCGAGGATGTCGCAGTATGTCCGCGATGTTCCACAGATGTGGAGGAGGGAAGATGCCATCGTACGTGAGATGTTCCGGCGACGAGAGGCACGTTGTTCAGATCGTATATCTAGAAATATGAGCGCGAATCCTACAGGTGCGACCGGTATCTATACCTTCAGTACGAGCTCGAACTTGGGCTATGCGCTTGTTAGCAAGACTGCTTATATGTTTGTGCTGGAGGTCGTACCTTTCTGCCTTTGGGTACTAGGAACGGTTTCATCATGAGCTTGGGGGCCATTCCTTGATTAAAGACTGTTGACTTACTCAATGGGTTCATATCCAAAATGAGTCACTCACTAGCAAGCAGTGCTATGACTGCGACTGCCCTATGTTGTCATATTGTACAAAGGATGGAAATATAGGCTCGGGACTCGGGTAACAAAGCCGTCATTGACCGAGATGCTAATAAACGTTTAAAATCAAGGGATGTTAATTTCACTAGGGGAAATCCCTATATAGCAGCTTGAGTGTGCTTGCGGCATGGAGATAGCTGAAAATCACGATGGAAGTACTTGGTGACGATATCGCTCTCACTGTCTTGCAAAAGTTCGACTCCTTACCAACCAAAGCAAAGCCGCTAAACAGAGGAAATGGCATGAAGGAATGGGTGCCATTAAGTGGCATCGTTGCAAGCAGCAAACATGGATTGACTTGCTTAGCTTTAGCGTAAGACTTTTGAACAGCTTCTGTACTGGATTGGGGCTGATAGTGTTAGTACGGGCATGAAATGTCTTCCTCAGAATAAGATCTCTCAAGCACAAGGCATAGTCCTGCATGATTGGCACGCAGAGATTTTAGCTATTCGTTCATTCAACCGATTCTTGTTAGACGAGTGTCTCAATCTAGCTACGGCTCCAGATACTGAATCCAGCTACCTACGCTTCCGAAATCAAGATGAGATTTCAGAATCTCATTTCCAGCCGTTCACGTTGAAAGCCGATGTTTCATTGCATATGTACTGCTCTGAAGCTCCATGTAAGATACCTCATCGAGCCCAAAACCTTTCTGACAAAGTCAGGTGGAGATGCTAGCATGGAGCTCACAATGGCAGCTCAAGAAGATGATAGGCCATGGCAAGCACCAGTACCCGCAACCACAAAGAATGAAGTTGAGAGCGGCCCATCAACCCTTCAGGGTCGCTCGTATTTCTCTGCTCTCGGCATTGTCCGCCGAAAACCATCACGCCCAGATGCACCACCTACCCTATCCAAGTCCTGCTCAGATAAGCTCTCCATGGCTCAAGCCACGTCTCTGCTCTCATCTTTAGTTTCGCTGCTCGTTTCACCAACTTCTCTATATCTGAAGTCACTCACTCTTCCATCATCTCAGCACTCACCTCCAGCCTGTGGACGAGCTTTCTCTGCTTCTGGGCGCCTGTCTGGTCTCAGTGATGTGACACGGGACGGCGGTTATGCATTCCGACCATTCGAGATCATAACTACAAACCATGACTTCAAGTTTAGTCGCAGACAAACTCTGGAAGAAGGAGAGAAGCTCTTCGCATCAAACGTGGCGGCTTCGTGGATATCCTCTCGCACTTCTTCAACAGCACAAACCGAAGTCCTAATCGGCGGCTTTTTACAAGGTAGGAAGAAACTGGACATTCTTGGTGCCTCGCGTGCGTCTAGACGGTCGCTGTGGAAGCTTGCTTTGCAGATAGCTACAATAGTAGCCGTCCCGAAAATATCTGGGGCTTTGAGCTCCTCAACGTATAGAGAAGTGAAAGCTAGTGATCTCCTGGGGACAAGACGGCGAGTCAAGGAAGAGGTCAGGAGAAAGGCCCTGCAAGGCTGGATTGTGAATGTTGGAGACGATGAGTGGATCATTGATGGCGCCATCAGAAAAAACACCCAATGATTAATAAACTGCTCATGCTTTTCTGTCGATTGCTCTCAGGGTTCACAGTTTCCGGTGTCGAACAGAAATTGCTTGGCAAGTTGCCTAGCCATCTACATACTTGGGCTACTCCATCCGTAGGTGAGTGCGGTTAAAGTAAACCAAGGCCGCCTTTTTGTGGAACGATTTCATGCTCGTGGTGCTCCTGCTGAAATCTAGAATTGGGCGATGCGAAAGATGTGCATACGTGGGCGTTGGGAAAAGACAACCTGCTATTATGACCAAGGATCATCCTTCGTGCCAACTGACGACAGAAAAGACGCCTGGGTGTCATCATAAGATATGTAGGTGCGGAGCACACTGGTATTGGTATTGTGTTAAGGCATCTACGTGCCACGATATCTACAGGCATAGGTATCAAGCGTATGATGGGTTCCATGGGGATGTCGATGAAGGGGTAGGACGTAGAGAGTTGTGAGCAAGCACATATGCTTTGGACCGAGAGGAGTGCAAGTGAGAGAAAAGACTCACCGGTCAAGTTTCAGACAATAATGCAGATAGAAGGGTTCGGACCACGGATAGTCTCCTTACAATGGATCAATAAGATCATGTTAATACTCTCCGATTATTTGCCAACATCCATTAAGCGATGATGCCATCGACTTCTCCGGTGGATTTCATGGCCACTATAAGCAACCGCAGTCTATCACTTCTCCGGGTTCTCTCACCCCTTCCACTCCAGTGCATGTTCTGCTCTATACTATTTGCGCATACTTATAGCTTCGGTCTGCCTCACTACCTTCATGAACCTGAACTCGGAATACTTCCAATCAGGGTCGTCTACCTTCAATTTCACTAGAAGAGCTCGTAAGTTGGCCGTTACTTGCTGTCGTCGATGATGATGGTGATGATGACTATTATTTTCGTCCTTTATGGAGACCCCCCGAAGGGTATTAAGACGTGCTAAGCTAGTGATTTACATACAAAATTACGCCAGAAAGCAAGTCAGTGGAGCGAGCCAGGAGGGCTCGTACGTCTTCTGTTATTACAAAATAATGCCTCCCCCGCCGGTCGGGGTGGCTACAGTAGAAAGTGAGAGGAGCTTTCCTCTGCTTGTAGACTCTAATAAAGAAGAGCTGTGTGTTTGGACGATTAAGGAATCAGTCCAGTGCCTTGGCTGGCAGAAAGCAGCCTATAAAAGGGACTCCGAGGGAGACCTGTATAGTGGAGTGTATAAGATGGAGATGATTGTTAAAGGTACAAAAGAAAAGAGGAGAAAAGGGAAGTTTAGTTGTGCAAGTAGAGGATTCTAGCCCTTGCTACCAAGTGCACACTTGGGTGTAGAAATTAGTGAGTTGTAGAAACTCTGCAAATATCCGTGGCTCCTCTGTGAGCCGATTCACATAGGACCATTCCTCTGACGAATTCCTAGGGGGCCTTTTGGGCTTAAAAGGCCAATTGTGCAGATATCTGAAGATCTTCTTACAGTGTACAAGATGATTGGGTGTTTTGGGCATACCGCAGCTGCACTCCAGGGTCGCATTATCATGGTTGAACTTAGTGTGGTACCAGCTGAAGTCACCATGCCTGATTCGCACTGCTAGTAGACGATGTAGTGTGGGCCGTGGTAGATCCAGCTCAGGAAGAGGTTTCACCACGTAGGTCAATTCCCATCTTCGATACTGTGCCAATAGTCTTGAGGACACTATCTCCCACCAGGCGAAGGCTGCGCTGCATTTGATTTCTCTAACACACGATTGAATGCCACAGACTGTAAGATCATTTGACAAGGAGTCCGTACACGGGAATGGCTGCTGGGGATTGGCTGTAATACCAGCTAAGGCATCTGCCTCTTCATTCCCTCTGATCCCCATATGACCGGACGGCCACTTGATTCTGATGTTCGCTG